ATTTACGTTCTTTCACAGAATGTCACAATTTTAGCTGCCTTCCCAAGCAATTTTCAGGACTCAAGCAGTCCTGTGTACAGACCAAATACATACCCAAGTATATAAACTAAAAGGAATTATGTGATAAGAGTTGCTGGATTTACAAAGAAAGAACTGAAAGGATTCAAAGGGAAGGTTGTTTCCAGCTGAGGTAGTAAACAAAGCATTCTTTGAGGAGGCGGCCTTTGAGCTCTGCCTCAAAGATGGGCCCATATAGGAAAGGAGGCAGGGGAGAGGGATACCCTGACAGAAGGAAATGTCTGAACCAAAGTTTGGAGCTGTGAAACAATGAGTCATAGTACAGCAAAGTGAGAAGAGGTCCTGTCTCCTAGAACAGAGGTGTCCTGTAGCAAGCCAAGAACTGAGAAAAGAACCATATTCCATTAAATCCAAGATGCCAAGACTGCCATCAATCATAAGATGCACTCTGATTTCAGAATGTTTTAATATATTTTTTTATATTTAAAAATATGTCATAGAGGGATGCCTTGGTGGCTCAGTCGGTTAAGCATCTGTCTTCGGCTCAGGTCATGATCCCAGGGTCCTGGGATCAAGTCCCACACTGGCCTCCCTGCTCGGCAGGGAGCCTGTTTCTCCCTCTGCCTGCCCCTCCTCCTGCTTGTGCTCTCTCTCTCTGACAAATAAATAAATAAAATCTTTAAAAAAATATATGTCTTAGAATTGATGAAACACAGTTAGCTGGGCTCATATTATAGAAGGCCTTGAAAATCAGTTAAGAAGGACAGATGGATGGTAATAAATGGGAAGCCCTGAGCAGGGATGTGATATTATGTTCTATGAAGATTGTGTTAATTGCTCGGTAAGGCCAAGGTAGGATATGTTGTGTTAGAGCTACTGTATTCGTACAGACCAAGGGAACTAGAGGGGCAGAAGTGGGAATCAAAGTGGTCAGACACAAGAAATATTTCCAAGGAAAAATCTGACTCATTTACACTGACATGGTAAATGAGAGGGGATTCAAAGATAAATTCCAGATGGGTAATGAGGAAGAATACGGTAGGCCTGTCACATTTTATGTTTCCAACTTATGTTTTCTTCTTGCATATTTCCTCCTTTCATGATTTTTCCTAGATGGTAGAATTTTGTTATTCTTTTTCTCCTCTCTCTAGTGTTTAATAAGTTTTAATTCTCATCTTTATATGGCTAATGATTACCCTTACATATTTAAGCCTACATTTTCATATTAACAAAAATTAACAGGTGCTCATTATCAAACAGAATGGAAGATTTACCTGCCTTCCTCTCATCATTCTCATCCTCGTTCCCACCCCCTTCAGGCTTTGTTGGTATTATCACATTTGGAATTGTATTTCTGGGCTAGAGTCGTATCTAGTCATGAGTGCCATTTGATTATGCTATGCAAAATACTCCCCCTAAAATAGGATCAATATCAAACCGCTAAAAATATATTAAAAGTTATGGAAACTTGTATTCCAAGGCCCACTAGGAATTTCAGTTTATGGTCTATGTCATGTTAATTTCTAATAATTAGTAACGACTTCTAAATTGTTTTAATTTTCGATACTGCTATAATTTCTATTTCTCTAAATTTTATTTTAGTTTTATTGTTCTTCAAGATCTCATGATTTAGTATATTTCCTATTCTTATCTGAGTTTGCATGCTTCTAGAATGAGGTATGCAGCTTTACTTGCTGCACCTTAAGGAAATCATGAGGGATATTTAGAAGACAGAAAAATACAATAAAGTATTTGAAGAGAAAGGGCTGCTGCTGAGTAGGGACCAGCAAAAATGATCAGGTGTCTTAGGTTTGGGAGAGCAGTGATTTAGAGGGCATATGGTTAAGGCTTTTAAAATCAAGAGGCAAAAATCATGTGAATCTATTGATAGAATCCTTACACTAACACTAGAGCATGTCATGAAACTTTTAAGAAATGAATTTAGAGAAAAAAAAATTAAGGCATTTTAAAATAGGTAATTTTGTCCCTTCAGGTCTAATTTTTGTCCATCTCTGCCCTGCTCTGGGGCTGGGAGGCTGACCTTTATGGACTGCAACAACAAACTCCCTTGCCTTTTGGCTGGGGCTGGCTTTGGTGAGTGAGGTGGTGTTGAGAGGCACTGTGGCAGGAGACTGGAAGATGGAGAAGAGTGAGGTTAGGCTATTTATTGCCCATCCTCCTTGCCCCCTCTACCAGTGTGTTCAAGGCTACCACTCTGGTTCAGCAGCTCTCTCCATATTCTTTCTGGGTTCTAGGGAAGACATTCTCCCTTTCTCACTTCAAATTTATGGGCAGCAATAGCTCTTCATTGTTGTTAACCCCAGACACTGCATTAACCCCTGCTGATTTCTATAAACCCTGCTCATCCCTTGTGAGTGGTGCCTTTACTAACTTCCCTCGATTACCTTCATGGAGTACATCGTCCATTTCCAGACCCAGGCTGAACCCTGAGTGTTGCATGAATGCACCTAGAGATCCCTGTACCTAAGAAATTATACAAGAGACTACCCCTGACTTTGTGAAATGGGCCAATAGTATAGCACTTTGAATTATTGGGTCCAAGGGGCACCTCTTGGGTTCAATGGTTGGGTTGAAGTAGGTTTTTTCTTTTAGAAAATGGATGTTCCCACTAGAAATCATCCTGGGAACTGGAGAATCCCCATGTAAGAAAGAAACTGAAGGAAAGACTTCCGCTTCTCTCTGGATTAGAGATCCATTTGGTCCTGGACTTGGAGGTACGGAGAGGCTTTGAGCAGGCTCATGCCAGCAGTGAGCTCTCCCCAGGGTGGCAGCAACATCAAGCTTCTGTGATTGTTGGGAATGGCAGTGGACACCAGCAGCTCAGAGACAGAAATAACCAGCATCTGAGGGCCTGGGGTGAGGAACCCCTGGCCGGCAAAGGCATTGTATCTGCATTCTGGCCCCACCAAAAAGTAGGAAGCATTATCAAGATGCTTCCTTTGGCTCAGAGGAAAAGAGTTTCTCTTTACTGAAGCTAAGGGGGAGGGCAACAGTGGGGAAAAACTGAGCCCATGACAGCCGGACTTTCCTGAAGTGCAAAGCAGTATATTGAGGAGGCCAGAGGGGATACACAGGAAAGCTCTATTTTAGAGTTTTACATATAAGGAGTACCAATAAACTTTCAGATATAGTTAAAAGCACTTTGAGACAGGTGACTTTGTATCAAAAGGGCTGGTAGGATAGAATGCTGTCATAGTTTGGGCATAAAATGGAAGGACACTTTCCACTGTAGTCATTCACTGGGTAGCTAGGGACACATCAATTAATTTTCTCTGTACTGGAGATAGGAATAGTTCTCGGAGCTTTCACAAAGTAGATGTGACACCCTGGTTCCTATTTTGGTTTAATGGACTTCAGATCTCACTAGGGGCCAAACCAGCTCTCATTAGTCATATGAGACTTGTACATTTACCAAGAACTTGCCCTGGCAAGAAGGTAGGGTCTTATGTGCCAGCTGAAAGGACATCACCTGATGATCTCTAATATAATGTGGAGCCTGGGACTCAGTTTAAGCAGTGCACCGAGGCATCATCCAAAAATATTGCTGTGAGTTATTACATAGGATCGAATGTTTCTCGAGATTTAAAAAAAAATATCAAGTAGCTTAAAATATTAAGAATTTTGTAATAGCTCAAGAAGATAAATTGCTGAAAAATGACTGAGAAATTGCTGAGAAACTGATTCTCGTACAATGATTTCTCCCATTCTTGGAAAACGTTAATCAAACTTGAGGGGTCTAACTAGCTTAAAATTTTAACATAAATTCTTCTGTGAGCCAAAATCTGTATATTATTGAAGCCTGAAGCATCAGGCTCTCTCCTGGCTGCTACCACCAATTATTCAAAAATCCCACTGTAGGGATATTTGGTTTCACAGGCATACTCATTACTCTCTTCTCGGGAAATTGTGAGCCTTCCTCAAGGAGGGCTTTTTCTGGATGAGGGAAGGAGAGACCCCACGTGGCCTCTTCTCCCTAATCTGTTCCTTTGTCATCTGACCAGAGTGCATCTGCAGAACCCCAAGCTGCCCTGCTTCCCTGTCCCCTTTTGACCTTTTTACTTAAAGTTCAAGTAATCTCCAAGAGCATGTGACTCAGGCTGCGTAATGTCAGGGATCAGGCTGAACTATTACAGACACAGTGGGTTAGCAGCCAAGGAGCAGTTCCTCTGACTTGGGCTGCCCAGAGTTTTCTGAGGATTCATTCTCTGGCAGTGATGCCACTCAGACTGTAATAGCTTCCTAACTCCAAGGAGAAATTCTGAATTACAACATGGCAAGATCCATGATGGATGAGCTCATTTTCTTGGTGCACATTATCTCAACTCTGCTAACTTGAATAAAACCTCGGAGAAAGAGTAGTGGTTTTGTTTCTAATTCATTCCATCTTGATTCTGTTGAGCTTGTAATTCCATTGCACACCATGACCAGCACAGCTTGATTACACATGGGGTTACAGGGATGGTAAACTGTGTCTGTGTCATGAGGTTAGACATCCTAACGTCGCCTTCGCTGGCACTGCGGGATGGGTGTGCGCTGCTACCTTTCGGCACTCCTCTGTATCTCCAACAGCGATGTCGTAAAGGGAGATGTCTACGGGATGTTCAGAAAACTGAACATAGGCATGGACTTTTAAAAGGCCAGTCTATTTCTAAAATAGGCAAATTAGTCTTTAATGCCAATTTGTCCACAACAGAGTAAGTTTTTGGAAAAACAGACAGATGTCTTCCTGTGTGATAATTAAATAGTAATTAATACGCTAAAATTAGTCAAACATTTAAAGTGTGACTCCTTATGCTGATAGGCAGGAACGGGCACAAACCTGACTCCTGGCGACCTGAGACTGTTTTTAGATTTTCATCAGAATGAACCTCATCAGAATTGGCTTCTTCATTTAAAGCAATGCTCTTAATTGGGTTTGAAGTTTATTATAGTGGCAATGTGGTCAAAGGGCAACAGGTCTGCAATGATTGAAGCATCTCAGAGAAACAACTGGCAAAAACTTACCTGGATTTGGGGGCTGGTTTAAGACATCTCTCTCTGCTATTTTATGCAGATCATGCTTATTGTTCAGAGTGTATTTTGGTTCTGTCTGTCCAGGCACAGAGGTCAGTCAGCTAGCACACTGCCAATGGCTATGTGCACTTTGATTCTTCAGAGGATTCTTAGAGGTTCAGAAGGCTGTGCTCTCCCTGCTAAGACAAGTTCTTTTCGTTAATACTGTGGGTTTTCTCTTTTAGAAATAAACGTAAGAAAACAGTTTGGCAGTTCCTCAAAAGGTTAAACATAGAATTACTGTATGACCCAGAAATTCCAATCCTAGGGTATATATCCAGAAGCACTAAAAACAGGTACCCAAGCAAATTCTTGTACATGAATGTTCATGGTAGCAATATTCACAATAGCCAAAAGGCAGAAATAATCCATCAGGGGATGAATTGATAAACTAATTATGGTATACACATACAATATTCGGTCACAAAAAAGGAATGAAGTACTGATACATGGCACAATGTGGATGAACCTTGAAAACATTGTGTTAAATGAAAGAAGCCAGGTACAGAAGGTCACATAGTGTACATGTTCATTTATATGACATAATCAGAACAGGTGAATTTATAGAGTCAGAAAGCAGACTGCTGGTTGCCAAAATCTATAGGTCGTTAGGTATGGGGTTTATTTATGGAGTAATAAAAATATTTTGGGACTTGATATAGCTGGTAGTTGTACAATATTGTAACTGTACTAAATGCCAATGAATTGTTCACTTTAAAATGGCTAATGTTATGTGAATTTCATCTTAATAAAAATAATTTTAAAATAAATGTAAAACACACTTGATTCAGTTCTCTGCATTAAGTACATTGCAACTCAGACTGCGTTTCAGTCCCAGGACTATGTGCCATAGGTAGAGAAACAACTGTTTGCACCAGTTCCTGACAATGAGAAGCTACTTCAGCCACCTTTAACATGCCAGATTCATAACAAGAAGCCTGACAGTTCACCGAGGAGAGAAATGATACTTGGTCCTCATATTTGTTGGCAGCCATTTTGCAGCAAAAGAGCCATTCATCTCTCTGACAGCTTCAGAGCACAAGATTAAATTTTTTCGTGCTTTACAAAAGGGTATTTCCGTAGAAAATTGATATACTGCTTTTTATGAAAAGAAATCTTGCAATTGGCAATCTGCAAAAGAAAAATGACCCATTTCTGTCCATATATTCCACTGCATTTAAATTCTCAGTGCAAAGATAAAGGCAAGAATTCTCTACTTCTTGGGGTCAGAGTGTGTCAGAATTGCCAAAGGGGTAACAACAATAATTAAGTCTTTGAAAGATAAACCCAGTGAGAAAAAATAAGGAAAAAAAAAAAAGACAGTGGTATAGGAATTGAGTATTTGTGGGATGTCACATGGGGTGGTGATCATTTGTCCTCCCTTCCCAGAAGAGAGAGGAAGCCTGCCTGCACAGAGGGGCTTCTATTCAGCAAGATATGTTCTTGCTGCAAGAATTAAAAGTGACTGAAATAAGACACTAACGGAAGCTACAAAGTTCCTTCAGGAGGCATTTAAGACTCTGGGCAGCTGATGAATGTGATGAGCTGTGAAGGGACAGTTCATTTCTCTGACACTAAGAGAGCTGCAATGGGTCAGGATCTTTTCTTTTTTTATTTAGAGAAGGCAGCTACCTGTCTGGTATCTTAATAGACCTCTCTACCTGTATGTAATTTAATTCCTTCATGATTACTTTCTTGTCTTTTTTTTCTTTCTTTTCTTTAAAGTGAAGTATTGTTGACACTCAATGTTATATTAATTTCAGGTGGACAATATAGTGATTTGACAAGTCTATAAGTCTATGCTATGCTCCCCATGAGTGTAGCTGCCATCTGTCACCATATAATGCTATTAGAATACCATTGCAATTCCCTATGCTGTACCTTTCATCTTTGTGACTTACTCATTCCATAACTGGAAGCCTGTACCTCCCATTAATTCATTTTGCCCACCTCCCCATACCCTTCTCCACCCCCATCTATGTTGTTGCACATGGCAAGGTCTCACTCTTTTTTATGGCTGGGTAATACTTTCTTGTTGCTTTAATCTTTGTGAGGATAAGGAATAAAGTCATTATAATCTATGAAATAACTTTCAAACAGTTGAAGCTGACAGCAATAAGCTCATTCCCACCCCAGATAAATTTCCCATTCTCTGGGTCAAAGAATCTTTGTTCTTAACTTGATCATTTTTCTGGCATTCTTATCACTATTTTAAAGCTCTTTATTATTCTCTGAACTCATCTATATGATTGGGTAACCTAACTTTAGAAAAGAAGCCTAAAAGCTATCTGAATAAATGCGCAAAAATAACAGAATATGTTTGAGTTATTCATACACTTGATCTAAAGGATGGTCACAATTTTTTTATGGGGCCACCAATGCCCTTGTTTGAGAGAGCTTGGGTGTGCAGTGTGGGGCTGAGGGGAGGCCAGGGAGCAAGGAGGGGAAGCTTCCTTCCACTGCTCTATGAGTACTTGATTAGAAAATAAAAACTGGCCCTGGAGCCAGGAATTCCTCAAATTAAATATTAAAGACTCAATTGGCCATGCCTTACTCTTTTTCTGCTTTTATATATTACAAGGCCAAATGCAAAGAAACAACAAATGGCTTACTGATCCGACATGGCCAATAAATAGTAGAACTGAAATTAGAATTTAGGAGTACTTTGTTGCCAATCTAATGCTCAGTCTATTGAGCTCGGAAGACTGCCCAAATTTAGAGGACCAGTTAATATAATAAATATAACTCTGATAATATTCACAGAAGCACTCTATAAAAATATCTTATAATCTCATCCTGGTAGTAATTTGATATTTTGATCAAATTGACATTTTCACACTTCCTTAGTTATGAAATGTCTTTTAAAGACTTATTATTGACTTATAAAGCAATAATGCAATGCAAGACTGTCAAATGAAATATTTAAATAACAAGTAATTTTCGCTTGCCTTTATTGCTTTTATGAGTCTTTATGGAACAGAGGTTATGGTAGTAGTAGCAATATGAAGTCTCTGGATAGCTTTTTGGTGGGGGAAAAAGTCAAATTACATGATATGCTCAGTTGTTAGAATTCTAGGTAAAAGCCTCAAGCCAAAGATTAGACTTGGTCTTATACTTTTCACTTTTCACCTTCAAGGAGAATTACAATGCATCATACTTGGGAGCTCCTAACAAAATTCTTGGCTATATCTGAGTCACTTAGAAAAACAAATGACCTGGAAAACAGGGAATAAAGTATGGTGAAATTTGTTTTCAAGTGGAAAATTGTAACTGGTTCATTTTGAAGGGAGAAAGAAGAACATCACTGCCAGCAGAGCAAAAGATAAACAAGAAAAACGAAATGCAAAACTTGGACAATAAAGAAACAAGATGAGTTTATCTCAAAGCATATCTGAAATCCAAAATTTTCACAGGATAATATAAATCCCAAGTACTCAGACAGTCCTTTTGGGTAAAAAGAACTTCAAGATAAAGGGAAGCCATGGAATATGGACACTCTGGCAAACACCTGCTTTCCATCACCATGGCTGGGAGGCAGTGGTTTCTAGCTCCACTCAGGCCTTTTGGAAGACCCTTTGGTCACCGGGTCATGCCCCTATGCAACAATTACTTAGCTGACTGAAACACTATGGGTGTCTCCTATTGGTAACAAGAACTGGGCAATGGGACACAAATCACGTTGAGCATGGAAGGTGGCAACCCAGATAGGCCGCAGAGTTAGTAAGTCATTCATGCAAGTAGATATCAAGATCTATTCCAGGGATTAAACCAAGACGAGGAACAGATCTCAGAGCTAAGAGCAGAGCTTAAATCCAGTGGCAACATTCAGTTGGGATCTGAGGCAGTAGCCAGATATTTCAGACAAGAACAAAGTATGGAGTGTTGGAGAAGCAGGGAGAATTAAAAAACCTTCACCTAATACTTTGATTTCTAGCTTCAGTGGCTTTTTTTGGCCTACCCAATTGTAGTGGATTGAATGGTAGCCCCCTAAAAGAGCTGTTCACATGATTAACTCCTGGAATTGTGAATGTGACCTTATTGGGAAAAGGGGTCTTGGGGTGCCTGGTGGCTCAATCAGTTAAGCATCCAACTGTTTGTTTCAGCTCAGGTCCTGATCCCATGGATGGTGAGATAGAGCCCCACGTCAGGCTCCGTGCTCAACAGGGAGTCTGCTTGAAGATTCTCTCACTCTGCCCTTCCCCCGACTCACACTTGTATGCTCTAAAATAAATATATAAATCTTTAAAAAAAAAAAAAAGAAAAGGGGTATTTGCAGATGTAATTAAGGATATTAAGATGATATCATACTGGATTAGTGGGGTGGGCCCTAAATCCAATGACAAGAGTCTTTAAAAGAGACAACACAGGAGGAAAAGAAGAGAAGAGGAGTAGCCATGTGAAGATAGACAGAGAATGGAGTTATTTAGCATAAGCTAAGGAGTGCTGGGAGCCACCAGATGCTGGAAGAGGCAAGGATTCTCCCCCAGAGCCAATGGAGGGAGCACAGTCCTGCCTACACCTTGATTTCAGACTCCCAGCCTCTACAATGATGAGAGAAAACATTTCTGTTAGTTTTAAGTCACTAAGTTTGTGGTCATTTGTTATGGCAGCCCTAGGAAACTAGTACACCAATTATGCTGTGCTTCTCATGAAGGGGTATATTAAAAGCCTTACATGACTTCTAACACCACCATCTATCTCTGCAGGTGGATGTGCGCACATGCGTGCACACATGCACGTGCACGCGTACACACACACACACACACACACTTCAACTGCCCCAGACAAGAGCTCCTGGTGTGGAGATAGGGTATAAGCATCAGGATACTGAGCAGGAGTATGCTCTCTCAATCTGTCTTCCTAGACTCCTGGCTGCTGAGGTTTTTCCAGTACCTACAGAAATAGCAGAAATGGTATATACAGGGGAAAACAAATCATTACTTAATAAGTGGGATTTATTTAAATCATTAAATTTTCAAAACATGGGGTATAAAATTTGAAAGATTCCTTAGAAGTGAGAAATTTAGAGCCATAGTTTTTTTTTTTTTAAGATTTTATTTATTTATTTGACAGAGAGAGAGATAGTGAGAGCAGGAACACAAGCAGGGGGAGTGGGACAGGGAGAAGCAGGCTTCCT